TACAGCTCAAACTCCAGTACTGCCCAGTCTTGTGGTACAGCCCTTGGACATAGGCTTTACCCTAAGTCCAAAAGTCAGTACAGAGGCTGAACATTCTGTGAATCTGCAGGAGGTTACAGTTTCTCCTTTGAAGCACCCAGAGGTGACACTTCTACAGCCATAGCAGATGTAGGTGCCGGCTCACGAACAAAACCTCACTCCTGTCGTCATTCAGGCTCTGAACCTGGAACATCACAAAACTCCTGTAGTTATTGCAGAGGTTCAGCTTCCTCTAAATCTTCAGGAGACCCCATCTCAGCCTGCAGAGCCATCTAAGAACTCTAGAGGAGAGCATACAGTGCCACAAGAAATGACAAATCCAAGACCACTGCGTCAGCATGCAGCTCAACCTCCCATAGTGCCCAGTGTTTTTGTACAGCCCTTGGACTTTACCCTAAGTCATAAAGTCAATACAAAGGCCAAACAATCTGTGATCCTGCAGGAGGTTATAGTTTCTCCTTTGAAGCAACTGAAGGTGACACTTGTAGAGCCAGAGCAGACACAGGTGCAGGCTCCGGAGCCAAACCTCACTCCTGTTGTCATTCAGGCTCTGAACCTGGAATATCACATAACTCCTGTACCTACTGCAGAGGTTCAACTCTCTCCAAATTTTCAGAAGACCTCATCTCAGCCTCCAGAGCCATCTATGGAAGCCATAGGAGAGCATACAGTAAGACATGAAATGACAAATCCAGGACCACTGATTCAGCATACAGCTCAGCCTGCAACATTGCCCAGTGTTGTGGTACAGTCCTTGGACATTGGCTTTACCCTAAGTCCTGAAGTCACTACAGAGGCTGAACATTCTGTGATCGTGAAGGAGGTTACAGTTTGTTCTTTGAAGCACCAAGAAGTGACACTTATACAGCCAGAGCAGATGCAGGCCCAGCCTCACTCCTTGTTATGGTTTATGTCTGTGTGTCCCCCCAAACCCTCCTGCAGCCATGGGGCAGGCTATTAGAGTTTGAATATGGGTGTGAGAGCTGCACCTGCCTGGGAGTGGATAGTTTACATATGTAAGGGAGAGGAAAAGAGTGCTTGGGACATTCCTCCCCCATTCCGCCCTGGTGTGTGCTTTCAGCTTAGCTGTGTTCTGCCACCCTGAGCTGTAGCTCTTTGCCATGTGCCACTCTGCCTTATAACCTGCCAAGTATGGACTGAAACTTCCACAAACTGTAAGCGAAATAAACCTTTCCTTCCTTAATTTTGGGTGTTAGGTGTTTTGTCCCAGCAGCCAGAAGAAAGTAACCAAGACACGCCTGTAATCATTCAGGCTCTGAACGTGGAACATCACTTACCTCCTGTACCTACTGCAGAGGTTCAACTCTCTCCAAATTCTGCAGAGACATATATGGCAGCTGTAAGAGAGCATACAGTACCGCACAAAGTGACAAATGTAAGACCACTCAGTCTGGACACAGCTCAGCCTCCCATAGTGCACAGTGGTGAGGTTACCGATGCTCCTCTGAAGCAGCCAGAGGTGACACTTGTACAGCCAGAGCAGATGCAGGCGCAGGCTCATCAGCCAAACCTCAGTCCTCTCGTCCTTCAGGCTCTGAACCTGGAGCGTCACATAACTCCAGTCCCTACTACAGAGGTTCAACTCTCTCCAACTTTCCAGGGGACCCCATCTCAGCCTCCAGAGCCATCTGTGGAGGATATCGAAGGGCATGCAGTACCCATGAGGTGACAAATCCAAGGCCGCTGGGTCAGCATTCAGCTCAACCTCCAATAGTGCCCAGTGTTTTAGTGCAACCCTTGGACATGGACTTTACCCTAAGTCCTAAAGTCAGTACAGAGGCTGAACAT